CGCGCCGCGCTGCTGTGCCATGCCGCCAGACCTGCTGCCCAGACGCCTATTGCCGCGCCCGTGACATCCCCCGCGCCGTGCTGCACCCCCCTGCCATCCCTGCGCCTGCCCCGTGTTAGTGTTATATACTGAAAGCTTGGCATTGGATAGGGGTGAGCATGGTGCGGTTCGGTCAAAAACCAAACCGCACCGCAAAAAAACTGAAAACCAATTTTTGCAAATTTCTTAACCGCACCGCACCACAAGAGAACAAAAAACCGAACCAAACCGAACAGAAATGTTAGGTTCGGTGTGGTGCAGTTTTTCGGTTAACCGCAAATAAACAAGGATTACTAAAAAAAAATACAAACAACATCCCATTATCATTATGCCATTACAAAATCAAAACTAAACAACCACAATAAGTCCAACACTCAAATTGATAAATGAAAAAAGTCCTGGCAGAATTGATAAATGAAAAGTCCATAACAATGACCATAAGTCCATAACAATGACCATAAATTGATAAATGAAAAGTCCTGGCAGAATTGCCATCTTAATTCAAACAGAGGGTGCAATATTGTGATAAAAGCAGCAGGCTAGTACACTCAAACAGCAGCAGCGCTCAAACTGAAACTGCAGCAGCACTCAAACAGCAGAACGGCCCCTATTGCACAGTAATCATAAAAAAACCTTCAAAATTCAAGCGATCAACAGCAAATTTATACAAGAAAATAGACAAAAAATATACAGAGTTTATAAAACGGAACAGAAAAATTGAAAACACCTTGCATTCCTTTTCCTTCAAGTCTATTGTGTTCTCATTGTCATTGACATCGCTAATCCCAACAGCTTGCAAAGCTATTATCATACAAAATATATTTAAAAAGTTAATCAACATTTACAAGTGATATAATACAATTAATGTGAAATTAGAACACAATACATTAGAGTACCTTCTTCTATTTTTGCAATGTCTTCTAGGATTTCTTCAAGGGGCTTGGTCCACTTGGATTTCTTTTTTTTCAACCAATCTTGAGCACATATAAGAGCCTCCACAATTTTAGGAGTGAAAGAACTCCTATAATCTTTAAGAACACGACCGCCGGTGCTAAAAGCGGACTCCGAGGCCACGGTAGAGATGGGAATCGCCAACACATCCCGTGCAAAACAAGAGAGGATGGGAAATGTACTTTGGTTTAGTTTCCACCACCTCAAAATGTCAAAATCATCTTTCTCGAAAACAAGAGTACTCTCTTTCAAGTAAACATCCAAGTCACACTTGCTTTCTACTTCTCCACTCTCTATCTTGTGCCTTTTGAACTTATCCCCCAAGTGATATCTAGATTTATTCTTTGAAAGATCGGGATGAGAGGATTCATTTAAACTTGAAACTCGATTTGTCGATTGTGTGGACGTGGCACAATGAGGTTGATAAATCAACTTATAAGCTTCAAACAACTCGTGAACACTCCCCTTCACACTCTTGAATATCTCCGAACCGTTCTTTTCTCCATGCTCTTCGCAAACTGCGTACTCAAGGAACTCCAACTTGTAGCGAGGATCAACAAAAACCGCCACATAAATAAGATGATTCACATTTTTTGGATCCCCCAATATTTATTGTATTGTTGATTTCATTTTTTCACCCATTGCTTTGATATCAAGATCATTGCTAGCAATTCATTCTCTTAACAAGCAATTCACCGAGCTAATTTCATGATAAAATTCATTTGAAGTGACATAAGATGTGCCTGAAATCCTCAACATTAGCTCGTAGAAGTGGGATAAAATATCAACCATCCTTCTAGCATTTTCCCAATCAAGAATTGACGGTGGTCCATGCTTGAGCTCTAGTCTAAAGAAAGGATCTTTTATTTCATACCTCTCAAATGCCCTCTCAAACTTTTGTGCAACATTCAACATCAAGTATGTTGAGTTCCACCTAGTGCTCACATCTAAGCATAACAAGCTTTTACTCACAATACCTTCATCATTACAACACTCCCGAAATTTTGCCAATCTAGCCGGATATTGTTTCACAAATCGAACCGCATGACGAATGTAATATCCCGACTTTTTATCAGTATAAATTATATTTTTAGTTCCGATATTATTTTCTCGGAATTAATTGTTTTCAGTTATTTCAGTCGAAATTACCGGAAAACATTTTTGACGTACCGTTTACGTTCGAAATAATTTTGGTAATTAAGTGTTATGCTTAATTATTTGATTAAGCCTTAATTTGTGATTAATGGTAATTAATCACTATTAGTATATTAATTTCGTGTGTATAAGTGAGGTATATTAGAGTTTTTGGTTCAATTTCCTTCTTCATTTTCCCTTAGTCCATAAAGCCGTGCATGTTGTAGTAAGATGCCTTCCATAATGCCGTGCATGTTGTAGTATTGTGGAGAGTTAGAGGATTTTTTTTAATCCAAGATTCCTTCCTCCTAGCCTATGTAGCCGTGCATGTTGTTAGTAATTTGGTCCAAGAGATTCCTTTCCCTTTGTCCTCTAATGCCATGCACATGTTAGTGTTTTGTTCATGCATTTCTTCACCCTTTTGTTAGCATATCCGTGAGTTTTGTGGCAAGAAGACATGCATGCCACTTTGGCTTGTAGTGTGTAGTGTCCTAACACTAATTGGCATGTGAGACAAGTGTCCAAGCCTTTGACCATCTACTCTTCTCCCTCACCATTTAGACTTTCGGTTTTTATATATGTTTATGAGGTGTTAGTGGAAATTTTCCTTTTCATCCTCTTTACATGCTAAGTTCAAGCATATTTTCCCAACACTTAGAAAAATTCAGCAAAGAATATTAGCCTATATTACTCGCACGGCAAGCAGTCAGCGTACCGCACGACATCCAAGCGCACGCTAACACCGTCGCGTAATAGCCGCACGTCGCACGCACGCACGCGGAGGGTCACGACCGAGAGCGGGAGTTCGAGTAAATTAGTCTCTTGAGCTTTTTAAGAGGTAAGTTCCCGACGGTTGTTGACCGAGCCTATCATGTTTATTTAGTTCGATTTTCCCGTTAGTAGCATGCATGCGTGTTATGTGTGTAAAGCCGTAGCCATGCCACCATGTCATGTTATAAGCTATTTTCTCTGAACCATTCTTGCATGTTTAGTCTTTAATTGCAATATCATGTGTAAATTAGCTATAATGTTCGGATAAGTAGTCATGTTAGTAGTGCTTTGGCCGAAGGGTTGAGGTCGCACACTTAGTGTGCACCGCGGGCCGCTCGCATGTCATTGCATGTTAAGTTCAGAACTTCGACTATTATGTAATTGCATGTTAGGTAAAGTCATGTTTAAGTTCAGTTATAAACAAATTTCCGAGATAAGTTTATGTTCGGTCGAAGAACGGCACGACG